GCTTGGAAAGACCCTGACCTATGCTTTCCAGGCAGGTGTTCATGCCACTGAGCTAAATACCCAACTGTGAAAGTGTTTTCTTTGTTGTATGGAAGAGATCCACATTGTTTCTCAGAAAGTGTTGAATATTGTTGGAATTTTTCCATATTGTATGGTTATAATTTAAAAAAAAAAAAAAACCAAAGGTCTCTTATGCTTTCACTTTGTCTGTGGAGTGTCTCATTCAGGGTTTCTCTATTTTAGACAGCTCTGTAACTTAGGATAGCCCCAAATTCAAGGATGAACTCCTTCACCAGCCTCCCAAGATACATTTCTTATATCTCAATTGAAAGTGATCGCTTCATGACAGTGAGCTATAAATTACAGGTTGGGCCTGGTTCCATTTTATATACTTATTTTTTAAAAACAGCATTTTCCACTAACATTTGAGTTATTATTTGTGTACAATATTGGGTGTTATTTATGTTTTGTTCTATGAAACCAAATTCATGTTTCAAAATGCTGCTGAAGTATATTAAGATCAAAGTACTTGGTCTCGCCGGGAGAACATGGCAGAGAGATAACAGCAACTACCGGAGGCTCTCTGAAAAACTAGGCTCAGAAGCCAGGTATGGTGCGGACTAAAGAGACATAAGCAGGTGGAGTTATGCTCTGCTGACTCAGGAACGAACTCGGCTGAGAGAAACCAACTTAGAATGCAGTCCTGGTGCTAAAACAGGAACAGAAAAGTCTCGCTGCTGAGGCTGGACCCTGCGCCATTGGAAGCCGCGATTTGGGTTTCCCGCCGCGCGGTGGCTGGCTGCCTCTACATCGGCTCGGCAAGGAGAGAGACGCGCGGAAACTCTGAGAATGGGAGTCTGCGAACGGAGTCGAAAACAGGACGGGCAGGGAGGCATGTTCTGACTTGTGGCGAGGTGAGTGAGAGAAACTGACACTCCACCACAGTTTGACTCCAGTGGACTTTCTGGGCCCAAGCAGTCCTGCGGGAGCAGGGCGCGGTGGCGACACCAGCGACACATTCCCCTCTCGGGCGGGATTGGTGAAAAGTGCCTGGCCTGCGTGACACTGCCGGCGGACCCCGTAGGCTGGCCCAACCCAGATCCCAGAGCCTGACGGAGGCCGGGAGGGGTGGGCCCCCGCGTAGGCTGCCTGGTGCGCAGCGGTGAGTGGGAACACCTAACCGGCGCAATTCGATCAGGCTGTGGCTGACAGGGAGAGAAGCTGGGCCTCTCATATAAGCTTGCATATATAAGGAACAGAGAATATGGGAAGAGGCAGCAACAAGAAAGGCTCCTCGGCCCCCAATTCTGAGGAACAGGCAATAGCGGACACCGCACCAATACACATAAAGCACCATATAGAGAGCCTCATAGACCAATTCAGGAATGAAGTTATCAACGACCTGAAGCTAGAAGTATGCAAAATAGTTAGAGAAATGCTAAGTCCCACCCAAGAAAAATCAGATGGTGGAATGGAAGAACAGAAAAAGAGGGGAGAATTGTTTGATGGAGAAAACAGGGAAAGCATAGAATACGTGAAGCAGGTTCAAAGGGACTACCAAGAAACTAAGAAGTCTATCGAAGACTGGCATAACAGCTTGAAAGAAACAAAGGACAGACTATCTGAACTGGAGGGCAGAATTGTAATATGGGAGAATGAAATGAAAAACTTCTTAAAAATAACAAAGAAACAAACAGCAATAATACAAAGACAAGAAGATGATAAGAGGATCCATAACTTAAGGATTAAGAACATAAAAGAAGAAGTAGGGACACAAACAAATGAACTACAAAAGCTACTCACAGAAATAATCCAGGAGAATTTTCCTAATTTAGCAAAAGGTAAAGATACTCAGATGTATGAGGCATACAGGACCCCAGCTACCTACAACCCAAACAGAGCAACACCCAGGCATATAATAATAAAAATTCCAGAAATTCAATACAAGAACAGAATATTAAAAGCTGTCAGAGACAAGAAACAGACCACTTACAAGGGAGCACCCATCAGAATTACAGCAGATTTCTCTGCACAAACCATCAAATCACGAAGAGCGTGGGGGGAAATAATTCAATTGAAAGATAATAATCTCCAGCCAAGATTGAGATATCCTGCACAACTGTCCCTGGAAATTGATGGAAAAACAAGGTGCTTCCAGGATAAAGAGGAACCGGGGGAATTTGCAACCACCAATTCAACTCTACAGAGAGTATTGCAGGATATTCTAAAAAAAGAAAAATACAAAGAATCCAGAAATAGTGGAGGCCACAACTAATGGAGCAGAGAACAAAGTGAAGAAGACAAACTGACAGCTACTGACAGAATAAGAGCTCAACAGAAATGAGACAGAGAAGACTGGATGATAGGAAAAGCTATTTTGGAGAAAATGACATCTTAATAGGTAATACTGATTTAGTATCATCTTGTTGTGAAGTCTCATCTAGCTTTTGTCCTTCTGTCTCCAATGGTCTAAATAGGTTGTATCTTACTGAATTTTATTATGTACGATAGTATAAGCAAAAACCTTTTAAAGACAAGGAGATTATACAGAAACCATTATTCATTTTCTGTTAGTCGATTCTAAATACTCTGTAATGCTGTCATTCTCTTAAATGGTTTTACATTGTTTTGATATACTTAATGCTACAGTATACGAAGTTGTACTCAAGGATTTCAAGGAAAGAGACAATATGGTAACTACTTTTAGGTCAGGATTATCTGGTGGTGAAACACTATTCTGCTTAAATGGTTATGTTTTGATCTGTGCTGTTTTGTTGTTATGCCCTCTTTTATCTCAATCTCCACTCCATTATTTACTTTTTTAATACTTTTTAAAAATTTTTTATCCTTTTAATTAAAGGAAAAAAATAGCAGGATATATTATAGTAACCCACTTTGACTTTCCATTACCTCGATTTAAAGCCCTGTATTACTCTCACCATCTGGTTTTTAACTGATGTTCCCCTATTCTGTTTTGCTGGATAGTATCAGGTTCGAAAATTTAGGCATCAGCTGTGAAGATAATGAGATTCATTATAACGCCCATTCTCGTTGACTTTTATCTACTTTTGAAGACCTACAATGTCTCCAATGGTTTGGTTTTGTCCGTTTTGTTCTTTACTGTTTTGTTCAATTGTATTATAACTAATGGTATAGGCAATTCTATTAGAGATAGCGGGAGGCATTATGGTAACCATTGTTGATCACCTTGTATTATGTTTTTATATTATCTATTATGTCCACCCTTTTGCCTTGACCGATTCTGTTCTGTTATGTCACATTTGGTTTTACTCTCTTCCAAAAAAGTAATAAGAACCGTGAGAGCAATGAAACCCAAAATGTGTAATAGTCATTGTACAAAGAGAGGAAAAGAAAGTGCTCTAAACTATATAACTGCATGTATATTTAAGTGTATAAGATAGAATATGATATCACAGAGTTTTATTGGATCATTGAACAGAACTGTTTGCAGTATCATTGATGGAATGTCCACTTTACAAGCTTTAATTTTGTGACTTGAACAATTATTTCTAAGATGACAATATGTAATCCATTAACTAGTGATTTCCTACTGTTCATTTTTTTTCTGCAAATCTGTATAACTTGTACCCTTTCTCTGCTTTTTTTTTCTTTTCTCCTTAAATAAAATTAAAAAAAAAAAAAGAACAAAGTACTCACTGGCCTGAATGAGATTTGAAGAGACATTATCTGTAGCCTATCAAGTGAGTGATGAGATTTTTTTTTCTTTTTTTAAATTTTGAAAGTGGTAAAATACAACAGAACAATGCAGAATAAGGCCAACTACGATCATACAGTGAAATTGGTACACAACTTCACAACAGGTTATTGGGATAACAGTAATAGGTATCACAGTATATTTTATTATCGTTATAATAGTTGTTCTTTCAAACACATATATCAAAATGAGATGAAATACAGAACATTATAGTACTTATCAAAACAGAATATTGAATAGAGCAATACCATTAATCAGAATAGACCTAAACAGTAATAAAAATATTTGCCTTCAAAGAGATAGTAGAAATAAGTCCCCCTTATTTGTTATGGTCAGCTTCCCAGGAGATGCTCAGATTTCTGGTTCCCATTTGCTAATGGGGGATGACAGGAGAAGAGGGATAGGGAAGTGGGATGTTTGATTCTAGGCCGTGCATCCAGTAGGTTCACTATTGCTTAGTAGGGAGACAGGCTGGTTGTTTGGTTTCACATCGCCCTAAGTTCCCACATGGTGTGGAGCTCAGGAGCTGCTGCTGGTTCTCCCCCTGGAAGGGCCACAATCTGCCAGACTGCCACCGCTTACCAGGGAGAAGTGGTGCTTGCTTGCCTTCCAAGTGTCCTAAATTCCAGCATGGCACGGATCTCAGGAGCTGCTGCTGGTTTGCACCCTGGATGGGCCACAGTCTGCCACATCGCCACCACTTACCAAGGAAGGGAGGTGCTTGCTTGGCTTCCCAGTTGACTGATGGGATATTTATCTGCCTCTGTGCTTTGTGGATGCTGTTCCTGTGGGCTTCTCACTGTAAGCTCTCCTTTAGAGACAGTACACAGGGAATCTTGCAGTGACTCAGCACAAGAATCAGTGCTCCTATTTGGCTGTTACATTAGCAGTAAGTTGCAATCTATCATCAAGTTTGCTGTCTTCAAATATGTGTATATTCACAAAATTAATGACCAAGACATGGATTTAAATTTGAAGACATCAGTCTTCATTCAGCTGTTTTGTTTGGTTGTATTTGTTTAGTTTTGTTTTGTTTTATTGAGACAAGCTTTCTGTACGTATATCAGCTGGATTTGAACACCCTATGGAGCCTAGAATTGCCCTGAACTCATTGAAACCATCCTGCCTCAGCCTTTTGAGTGCTGGCATTATAGATATATACCACCACACTTTGCTTTTGATTCAGATTTGTAGGAGAGAATTTAAGATATCACAAACCTGGTGTCTCAACCTTCATGTGAGAAATATATGTATGATCCTTTAGGAGGTGGTGACCCTTGAGGATGTGGTTGTGAACTTCAGCAATGAGGAGTGGACTTTGCTGAGTCCATCCCAAAAGAACCTCTACAGAGATGTGATGGGCGAAACCTTTAGGAACATGACTGCAATAGGTAAGAACAAAATACTTTTGTCACTCATGCTGTCAGAATGTTGTGTGTCGCTCATCAGTGCTGTTTCATTAAAATCAATGTGAAAATATTTTTAAAAATAGCTCAGACCTGGACACATTATATCATAAATCTAAACAAAATCTATTAATTTGTATGTATTAGTCTAATGAGCGCTTGTATTTCTATGTCTACAATTCAGGAGGACTTGGGGATATGCAGGAGGCTGAAAAACAATGCAAGATTTACTGGAGATACTTAAGGTAATTTGCACTCAGAAGGAGAAGGAATGTTCCTGAGTTATTAGTGAGTCAGCAGAAAAGTGACCACTAAAGAAATGAGGCACCATTCAATTTACTGTCAGTAATATTCTCCAAAGACGTATAAGCTACGGTATGTATAATGAGTGAATTAAATCATGAAAATGTATATCATTGCATATAGATGTGTACGAAAGGCATACACTTTGAGTTATGACATTCTCCCTTCAGTTTTTCTACCCATATATACATTTGAATACAGCACATTCATTATCTAAAAATTGCTAAGTTTGCAAAAGAATTTGAAATAAAACGGAGTGCTTGTGTTTCCAAGCCATGCTCTAAAGAATCAACCATTCTGACTAAAATTCTTAGAAGGCTGTGGAATGTTAAGTGCACTCATTCTGAATATCAGTATGCAGTTATCTCTAGAAGTTGATCCCACCATACTTGTCCTGGATATATTTTTAAAAATTCAAAATCTGCATAAAATACTGATACATGTTTAATCATATACAAAGCAGATCAAGTTATAATAGATCAGTCCTTGAAGAAGCTTAGCTATCTATCACTGGATTTGTGGAGAAGGAAAATGTTAATAGACTCTCTGTGATTGTGCATTCTTGTAAACCCAGCACATTATGAATCAGATTTTGCAGAATGGCAAATTCAAGTTCAAACTTCCCAGCTTTATGATCAGTGAAAATCTCTTAAAACAGATTTTAAAAAGCTATAGATTTTATGCTAATAGCTGTTGTTCATTCCCAGCATGGAAAAGAATAAAAAATGTGTTAAATAATGTTAAAAAATAAATAATATAATGTCATTTGCCATAAGAAATCGATGGGGCTTTCTCCCATCAATTGAGTGAAATAGCTCAGTTATAAAACCTAAAAGGTCACAGGGTTTCTTTTAGATGCGAAACCAAAATATAAATTGTGGAATGAAATGAAAGAGTTAATAGAGAAAAGTAAGATGAACCATATGGAAAAGGGAACTACAGGTTAAGGACAGAAGGGAGATTGTGATGGGGAATCATATCAGAATGATCTGTATGTGATACACATATGTACCCATGCTCAAAGTGAAGCTAAATATTATGCATTTCAAAAGGTACCAAATTTTAAGATTTCCAAATGTGTACCAGTCTTTTGGGAAGGGTTGTTTTCAACATATCTTACAAGGCCATTCTGTTGCTTCATGGTCAGAATTTCTGAGCAGCCATTAAAAACAGAACTTGATATTAATGCAGTCATTAAACTGAGACCCATTTCACTGTGGATTTTTCTTTTTTTATTTAATATAAGGAAACACAAAAACCCATAAAATAAGTATAAATAATACCACTTTCAAAGTGAAAATAAACAGTAAGAATTCTAAAGACAATGATTACATATGCTGCTCATAGAAATAGTTAATGAAATACAAAAGTGAAACATATGAAGTGGGGATTCAAACAGTGAGTCTGCAAACTGTTTTGTTCAACTCTTCAATAAAAACTAAGTAATAAGGTTATCAATCCTATATGTGATTTTTTTCTTTACAGAAATGAAAAGCTAGAGAAATCCTATGGACATACATCTTGGAGTCAGTGTAAAGAAGTATTCCTTTGTACTGCAGAAGGTAATGTGAATGTGAAAGAAACAGAAACACACCACAATGTTCAGATCCATGGAAAATATTGCAGTGGAGAGAAACCCTATGTATGTCAGCAATGTGGAAAAGGGTTCACCAAATCTGGACATTGTAAGCAACATGAAAGAATTCACACACAAGAGAAACCATATGTATGTGAGCAATGTGGGAAAGCTTTTAACACATGTGCATATTGTAAGGCACATGAAATAATTCACACTGGAGTGAAACCATATGTATGTAAGCAATGTGGGAAAGCTTTTAACACACAGGCAGATTGTAAAAAACATGAAAGAATTCACACTGGAGAAAAACCCTATGTATGTAAGCAATGTGGGAAAGATTTTACCACACCGTGAGATTTTAAGAAACATGAAAGAATTCACACTGGAGAGCAACACTATGTGTAAGCAATGTGGGAAAGGTTTTACCATCTCTGGACATTGTAAGCAACATGAAAGAATTCACACTGGCGAGAAACCCTATATATGTAAGCAATGTGGGAAAGCTTTTGCCCAACATGGACATTGTAAGCAACATGAAAGAATTCACAATGGAGAGAGACCATATGTATAAGCAATGTGGGAAAGTTTTTACCCTACATGGACATTGTAAACAACATGAAAGTTCACACTCAAGATAAAACCAGTGTATATAAGCATCATGAGAATGGTTTGAGCACACGTCCTTATTGCATAATGCATGAAAATCTTCACACTGGGCAGAAAACTTATATATGTAAGGAATGTGCAAAAGGTTTCAGCAGAAATGCTCATTGTCCAATACATTATAAAATTTACACTGTTGAGAAAGCCTGTGCATGTGAAGAATGTGGAAAAGCTTTCACCACACATGGATACTGTAAAATACATCAATTACTTCACACTGTTGAGAAACCCTATGTATATAACAACGTGGCAGAGGTTTTACCGCATACAGTCACTGCAAAACAGATGAAAGAATTCACACTGGGAAGAACCACTGGCTATATAAGCAAGTGGAGACACTTTCAGCAGCCAGATTGTAAGTGAAATACATGAAGAAACTCACACAAGAGATAAATCCTATGTGCTATGGGAATACTCTCAGCACACATGATCATTGTTACATATCTGAAAGAGCTCACTGGGCAGAGGTCCTATGTGGATTAACAATGTGAGAAATATGGCAATCCATGTTTGTTGTTAAATACATAGAAAAAGCATCAGTCTTCAGACAATTTAGATCTAAGTTTACTTTAAAAATCCCAAGGAGACCTGAAGAAATAACCAATACAGAAGTTTGATGTCAATATTTCTTCACAAATTTTCCAGAAATGACAAATCTGTGGTGGAGCTCTACTCGAGTGCACATGTTGTATGGTTTTCAGTTAACCACTTGTACCTCTTTAGATTTTTTAAAATGTCTTTGTGCTTCAACATGGCATCTTGTAATTAAGCATGGTAAACTGAAATGGGTGTTAACTTTCAAGTATGGATAGTGTCTATGTACTTAATGTTTTGTCTTTAAAATTGAATTTTTATATTTTGTGGTGAATTGTAATGTTTATTTAAAGAGAAAAAACAGCAAAAATATAGAAATAATACAGAATTTCAGAAAAATAAGAAATCACTAGTTGATTAGTTACATATTTTCATCTCAGAAGTAGTTGTTCAAGTTACAAAATAAAGCATACAAAGTGCTATTCAAATAATGACACTGTGAACAGTTCACCTCAATGATCCAACAAAGACTTATTAATATGCTTACTGTCCTACAAACTTGTTTTTTTTTTCTTTTCTTAAAAAGGGTAAGATTAAACATGACAAAACAGAACAGAAAAGTTCATAAGAAAGCAAGTTAAGGAAACACAGATTTCAAAGCACGTCCCCTGGAGATGTTCACTGTCTATCTTACTGTCTCTAGTTTTTCTTCCAAATAGTTGTTCCCATTTAGAATGCATTGAATATATACTGAATATTATAGAACTAATCAAATAATTACAGGATGATGCAGCCTTTTTCTATCTTCAAGACAGATTTTGGGGATGTCGATAATGACTACCATAATGTCTCTCATTCTCTTCATAGTAGCTGTCTTTATCTTTATGTATGCTGATATTCAAGATAAGAGACTAGACTAATATCACTCTGAACAGTGAATAATAGCCTTCTGAGAAGGAGAAAGGTGAGGAATTGCCTAAAAAAGAAGGCAGAGGGCATTGTAAAAAGTGTATCAGGATGTAAAAGCTACAGTAGTCTTATTGCTCCGGTTAGTTTGATTATATTTTGTTCCAGCCTGTCTACTCATATTAGATTTGAGGGCACAGAGAGATAACCCAAAAATAGCAGGCTATACCATGGTAACTATCCTTAATTACCTGTTAACTTAAACTGAAACCCTGTATTACTTACATTGTCTTCTATGACTGATCTTATTTGAAGCTGGTTTGTTTGAATGCTATTTGGCCTTGACCGATTTTATTCACATTTGGTATGCTTGCTGGTATCAAGTCCAAGAGTAGATCCAACTAATCTGAAGGTGACAGGATGTAAAAGATGTATTTTGGGGGGCTGGGGATTTAGCTCAGTGGCTTAAGAACCTACCTGGCAAATGTGAGGTCATGAGTTTGATCTCCAGTAACAAAAAATAAATTAATAAAAGATATCCATTCCATTTATGTTTTTATTTAAAGAGAAAAAAGAAAGGAAATAAAAAACAAGCAGAAAACATGTATAAATAATACAGAATTTCAAGAGAAATAATACAGTAAGAAATCACTAGTTAATAGGTTACATATTTTCATCTTAGAAACAGTTGTCCAAATTATACAATTAAAGTGTATAAAGTGGACATTCATACAGTGAGTTTGCAGACAGTTCCATTCAATGATCCAACAAAAGCTCAGTAATATGGCTTGCCATCCTACACACACAAACATGCAGTTATATCCCTGATACCACCTTCCTTTCCTCTCTTTTTTACAATAAAAATTACACTTTTTGTGTTTTTTACCCCCACAGTTCTAATTACTTTTTTTGAAGAGAATAAAACCTAACATGACTAAACAAAACAGATTCAGTTAGAACAGAAGGATAGGCATAGTACATGATGCAAAAATAGAATATCAGGTGCGCCGCGCGGCCTCTGAACCCCCGACCGGCAGGGGAACTGACTCACACGACACACCAGAATGCAGAGACAGAGGTCGCCTTTATTGACTCTCCACACAGGTCGTCCCCGGAACGTTCCTCCCTGATCGGACTCTCCAGTGGGGCTCTCTCTGTTGAGTAACCCCGCGTAGTCCTCCACTCTCTATGGTCTGCGTGTCTTCTCTTCCTCTCTACCTCCTGCTCTGTCCTTATATCTATAGTCCTGTCCTATAGGGTAACAAGGCGTGGCAAAGTCTGATTGGGGGACATCAGCTGTAGCTAGGCAGAAGCTGTGGGTAAGAATACGGAAGTAGGAAACGGGCGCCATCTTGGCATCATTCGATGGGAGGGGTAATCTACTGAAGGCTTCGCTCTTTCCTACAGGCCCCATCTGCTTAGGCAGGTCCTCTGGCTCGGCTCCCGACATCTCCCCCTTTTTTCTTTATTAAAGGCGGTGGATCTAAGGGTCCCTCCAAGGTATGATGTTGTTAGATACCTGGGAGTGGGCCTACTTTGTAGGCCACGGCATGAGAGAATGTAGAGGTCTATACCCCGCTGTGCATCACCTCATTTCGATGCATATCCTCGCGCTAGGACCATGCTTGAGGTGAGTGGTTCATTTTTTCGCAGGGCCAGGCTTTTGTGAACCGAACCTGGATGCATATAGACATTCATTGCTGCCTTCCCCCCAGCTTTGGGGCGGGTGGCACTGCAGTACCCTTGGTCTCGCATCTCAATGCCAACAACTTAGCTCCATGAGAGGACCCTAATAGAGTGGGGTCTGTCTTAGGTTGGTCGGGAGAGCCCCTCCCGCCTTACCCGTCATTGACTCCATCACTCATCTCCTCGGGGAAGAAGGATGCCATCCAGAGGCACCTGTCTGTCTCGGTCCCCAACTGATGCCTTCCTCAGTAAACATGATCCAGTTGGGCAGCGAGGAAGCATTTGGGGGCTTAAAGGTGGAGAAAACCACCATATCATTAGAGAGGGGCACAGTGATATTGAACTCATGGGAAGTAATCGGGGCATCAGGAAGGCATGGCAATCTAGCTGTACAGTTGTGGGCATAGGTTTGCGGGAGGGTTGGAGATGTAACTGAAACAATGGACAGGGCTGGGGGATGTAGCCCCCCATACTATTTCAGCATAAGCACCGTTAATCAGCAGTAGTACCGCCAGGCATATTTTATGCCAGTTGACAGGGCGCGGTGCATGAGCAAACAAGAAGGCGCTCCGTCCCAGGCAGACCCCAAAGAGGAATACCAGAGTATACATTACCACACCCAGCAGTAGGTGGTTCGGTGCCTCAGCTAGGGTGTCATTGTTCTCCTTCTGCGTTGTCAAGTTGGTCCTTAGCATTATGGTCCCCTTCTCCTTTTTCTTCCTTTGTGGGGCTTGGAGTCTTTCTTATCAATCGCTCCGGTACCCACAGTGGTTCCTTTTCCTGTGGGGACACACAAACCACGCCTCGGTTCCAGCTGACCACTGGATCCGGGCCCATCCACTGTCCCGTTAGGACATCCTTCCACTTTACCCATCCTTTGTTGGCGGGAGAAGGGCTACAATGCTCCATCGCCGGGGAGCGATCATTGCAGTTTTGATTCAAAAAATTATATGTAAACAGTGCCATGGATAGTCTTGCTTTTGGGGTCAGGCTGTGGCCTATTCCCCCTTTTTGTTTTGTTAAGATGTTTTTGAGGGTTTTATGGGCTCTCTCAATGATGCCCTGTCCTTGTGGGTTATAGGGGATTCCATGTTTTAACTGGACTTGCATGGTTTCACAAAATTTTGCAAAAGATTTCCCAGTGTATGCTGGGCCATTGTCTGTTTTGAGATGTCTGGGTTTTCCCCAGGCTGCCCATGCTGCCAGGCAGTGGTTAATCACATTAGACACCTTTTCCCCTGTTTCCGCTGACGCAAAGATTATATGAGAGCAGGTGTCTATGGAGACATGAACATACTTTAGAGAACCAAACTCTGCCACATGAGTGACATCCATCTGCCAAATGTCGCCGGGGGTCAACCCCCTAGGGTTAACTCCGACTGACACTACAGGCGAATGGGTGTCACATGAGCCACAGAGTCGCACAATGTCGCGTGCATCTGCTCTGGGGATATGGAATGAATTGGCAAGAGTCCTGGCATTAACATGAAATTTGTCATGAAATTGACGGGCTTGTTCCAGTGGGGACAGTATATTGAGAATCCATAGCGGGCGAGTAGCCGCATCCGCGGCCGCATTGCTCTGCACCATGGGCCCCGGTAGGTGCGTATGTGCTCTTATATGAGTGATAAACACTTTATGGTTTCTACTCGTGAGCAATGCCTGGATAGATAAGAACAAGTTTGTTACTTTAGAGGTTGGCTTGATTGGGCCCGCAGTCTCCAGGACCTGTAGGGCATTAACAATGTATTTCGAATCAGAAACAATATTGAGGGCCTCTGAGAATTTTTGGAGAACTGTTTGTACAATCAACAACTCTACCACCTGTGGTTGATCTGGTTCAAACTGTATGGTAACCGGAGACTTGCCTGAGACTACATAGGCCCCTATCCCGGTTTTCGACCCATCAGTATAGATAGTTGTTGCATGAGCAAGAGGTGCGGAGGCGGTGATCTTTGGGAATATCACCGGATGTTGAGTAACAAACTGTAGTATGGGGTCCTTAGGAAATTGATTATCTATATCCCCGGGGAACACGCATCTCAAGATGGCCCAAGTATCCAGGCAGGCGGTCAGGGTCTTTATCTGAGAAGCAGTATAGGGCACCCGAATGGCATAAGGCGGGGAACCAAGATGTTGGATCGCTCTACTGTGCGCCTCCAATGCCAGAGAAGCAACTGATTCCGGGTAGTGTTCAATGACCTTGGCAGGTGAGACCTTAGGGTGCACCCACAGGAGTGGTCCCTTTTGCCAAATCACCGCCGTGGGCTGACATCTGGTCTGCAGCAAGCAGATTTCGAAAGGCTGTCCTGGGTCAATCCTCTGTAAAGTAGCTCTACTTATGGCCTTTTCAACCCTCTCTAAGGCAACCCTGGCCTCTGGGGTGAACTCTCGGGGGGAGGCAATGTCCGGGTCCCCCTTCAAGAGATCAAACAGAGGCTTTAAGTCAGAATTGGAGACATGTAAGTAAGGTCTGACCCAGTTTATATCTCCTAATAACTTCTGCATGTCATTTAAAGTGGTGAGATTATCCGTTCTGATGGTTACCTTCTGCGGAGAAACCAGAGTAGAGGAGAGTTTGGCACCCAAGTAGGTCACCACTTCTCCCCCTTGAATCTTGTCAGGGGCAATGTTCAAGTTAGCCTTTCTCAGGGCCTTGACCAGTTGGCCTAACATATCTTCTAACATTTTTGTTTCCTTTGCACTGATAAGCAGGTCATCCATATAATGAACGCATCTAATCTTGGGGAAGGCTTTTCGTATAGGGGTCAGCAAGGAATCCAAATAGATTTGACACATAGAGGGACTGTTGGCCATACCCTGAGGTAGGACCACCCATTCGTATCTAAGATCAGGGCTCTCCTGGTTAACCGTGGGCAGGGTGAAGGCAAATCGATGGGTGTCTTCCGGATGCAGGGGAATAGAGAAAAAACAATCCTTAAGGTCTATGACATAAACTGACCAATGTCTTGGGATCGCTGAGAGTGCCGGTAGCCCCCTTTGAACTGCCCCTAAGGGTTGCATCTGCGCATTGATCGCTCTCAAATCATGGAGCAGCCTCCATCTGCCTGATTTCTTCCTGATGACAAAAATGGGGGTATTCCATGGGGAAGTCGACGGCTTTAAGTGTCCAGCTTGAAGCTGGGTTTTTATTATTTCCGTTAGTGCTGAGAGCTTCTCCTTGGGCAGGGGCCACTGAGGTACCCAAACTGGACTTGGGGACTTCCAAGTGATTTTAATCGGGGTGGGTAGGAGAACTTCTTCAGTGGCCCCTAGAAAAAACCCAGGCCATGTCTGCCTTCCTTCTTCTCCATAGGTACAGGGGAAGTCTGGCCCTGTAGGGCAGAGCCCAAGCCCTTGCCGGGGATATACCCTTGATTCTTAAGCATGCCCTTGGCCTGAGGAGAACAATTGGATGTAAGGGTGACGTCCATCTGGGTAAGGATGTCTCTCCCCCACAGAGACACTGGCAGTTGTAGGACAAAAGGCTGGAAATGACCCTGGTGGCCTTCCTCATCACACCAAGGCAGGGTTATGGCGCTAACCTGAGGAGCTGTCACCATCCCTAACCCTTGAAGTGTGTTGTCTGCTGTATTTGTGGGCCAACTAGAGGGCCAGTCCTTCTTAGAGATGATAGACCGATCGGCCCCAGTGTCCAAAAGCCCTGTAATTTTTCTCCCATTTATTCTCAATGATAACATGGGTCTTTTGTCAAGTGTCAAATGCAGCCCTTCGAAAATCCCCGACCCCGCGCCTGGTCCCCTACCGCCCCTGATCCTCTGCTGAGAGGGGAATTTTCCGTGAAGGCTGGGGAGCAACAAAAGCTGCGCTATCTTATCTCCCTCGTTAATGACCAGAGTTCCGTTAGGGGATCGGACCAGAATTTTTATGCGGCCTGTGTAGTCAGAATCAATGACTCCGGGGACAACAATGAGACCTTGCAGGGCAGCTGAAGCTCTACCCAACACCAGTCCAACTGTCCCCTCAGGCAGCGGTCCACAACACGGGGTTTCTACGATTTGGGTACCCAATTCAGGCATTAGTATAAGTCTGGTGGTGGCACAGAGGTCCAGTCCTCCCGAGCCGAGCGTGGCTCTTGTGAGGTTTGACTGTCTCGAGGGGACATTCTCAGGGTCCGGGGGCCCACTCCTTGGAGGGGCCCCCTCTGGCCGTTTTTTGTCTCTGATAGCTGTCTGCCACTCAAGCGGTTTCCGTCACTATCAAAGATGGAACGACAGTCCTCAGCACGGTGAGCTCCTTTCCGGCAGCGCCTGCAAATCTCCCCTCCCCCTTGGACGGATCCGCCGGAGCGATTCCTTTGGGGGCACTCACGCTTCAGATGCCCTAGCTTTCCGCAAGTGAAGCAGGCGCCTCCTTGGGGCCTCTCTCTGGCCTTTATTTTGTTATTGGTAGCCGCTGCGAGCAGGGCGGCCACACCTGCGTTGGAAAGGGGGCCCCCTATCTCCCTGCAAATTCTTATCCAGGTGTTTAAGTCCTTGTTCTTATGTGGTGCGATTGCTGCCCTGCATTCTTTAGTACATTGTTCGAAAATCAGTTGCTTGACCAGTGGTAGAGCTGTCTCCTTACTAGGGAAAATCTTTTCTGCTGCATTTTGCATTCTAGCCACAAAATCTACAAATGGTTCTGCGGTGCCTTGAACTACCTTAGAGAGGCATGCGGATGCGGTCCCAGAGCCGCTTACCTGTTTCCAGGCTCGCATTCCAATAGTATTGATCTGCTCGTAGACTGCACTGGGGTACTGCGTTTGATCTTCAGCATATCGCCCCTCCCCCGTTAACATGTCTCTGCTCCATCCCCTATGACCCCCGGCAGCATTCCTCTCTGCCTGTTCTGCTGCGTACTCAGCATACCAAGCCCTCCAATCCAGATAGCTGCCAGCTGGAAGGCAGGCCTTAGCCAATTGGGCCCAATCCCCAGGCGTAAGGGGAATAGAGCAGAGATTTTCTAGTATTGCCACCGTGTATGGAGCTTCGGGGCCAAAAGTCGTGACCGCGCTTTTCAACTCTTTTATCTGCTTAAGGTTAAAAGGCTCCCACACATTCCTACCCTGGCCTGGGGCAACTTGTATGGGGTACACTCCATAGGGGCCCACGTCTATCCCTGGTTCCGGCATCCTTGGTCCCGCCCACCATTTAGAGCGCCAGAGCGAGCCATGGAAGTATCTTGAACCCCGAGGCAGCTCAGCATAGGACGGTGGCGATGGGCGGGGACCGATAGTAGCTGCCAGTCTCCTAACCTCACTCTGCGCCCCCTGGTGGCACAGTTCCTCACGGCGCACCGCCTCCGGAAATGGGTCCCAAGGTGGGGCCGAAGGTAATTTCTCCTGTCGCCAGCAGGGGTCAGCAGAGGGTTTCTCTTTTTCTCCCTCCGCGTCCCCCATTGAGATGGCGCGGAGCTCGCGTCGGAGACCCCCGTAGATGCTTTTCCTGGACTGTGCTTCTTCATAATAGGAATCAGACGAGTCCGATTCCTCCCCCCTGGGGTCTTCCTCCCGAAGGGAACCTTCCCTAGAGTTTTCAGCTTTCGCCCGTTCGAAGGCTTCTCTCACCTCTTTGATACCTGCACCATGGACAGCGGGCGGGAAACCCTCGTTTTCCTCCTCTAAGCAGGTATGTATCATCTCCCACAAGGGGCGAACGGAAGGGGACAAGTCCCCGCCGAGCTCGGCAGAGGCCAGATCCCCCCCCAACCTCTCCCATGAAGGCAAAGTCAAATGTCCCGTGGGTAGGAACCACGGGGCTATCCGGTCAATCTCGGCAATAAACAGCTCGAGAGTGGCACGACTTACCCCAAGATCTTTTGCTTTTAACAGTCTCTTAAGGGCCTTGGCTAAATCCCCAGCCTCTTTGCTCGGTAATTGGCCCATATTCTATCAAAAGATACCCTCGGGTGGCTAAGATCTGCTCACCTCGATACCTGGCGTATGTACACCAGGGGAGTTAAGAAACTTGCCCTGTAGGTGCGCGCCACCCAGGGCCCAGGCGTACTCCCAACTTACCTGGCCGACGACCTCTGCCGCGTGGTAAGCCAAAAGCGGTCTGTCTCTGCAGTACGGGGGTGATCAGTTCCCCGTACGGGCCCCCAGAATGCGCCGCGCGGCCTCTGAACCCCCGACCGGCAGGGGAACTGACTCACACGACACACCAGAATGCAGAGACAGAGGTCGCCTTTATTGACTCTCCACACAGGTCGTCCCCGGAACGTTCCTCCCTGATCGGACTCTCCAGTGGGGCTCTCTCTGTTGAGTAACCCCGCGTAGTCCTCCACTCTCTATGGTCTGCGTGTCTTCTCTTCCTCTCTACCTCCTGCTCTGTCCTTATATCTATAGTCCTGTCCTATAGGGTAACAAGGCGTGGCAAAGTCTGATTGGGGGACATCAGCTGTAGCTAGGCAGAAGCTGTGGGTAAGAATACGGAAGTAGGAAACGGGCGCCATCTTGGCATCATTCGATGGGAGGGGTAATCTACTGAAGGCTTCGCTCTTTCCTACAGGCCCCATCTGCTTAGGCAGGTCCTCTGGCTCGGCTCCCGACAATCAGGTGATGAAAAATGGTTACCATTGTGCCTCTTGCTATTTTTAAGAAGAGTTGCCTATCTCATCAGGTATAATAGAATTGATCAAAATGGTGCAGAACAAGACCAATAAAACCTACACTGAGAACTTACAGGATTTCAAAAGAAGATAATAGTCAAACCATAATGGGCATGATAGTAAATCTTATTGCCTTCAAAGTGGTTGCCTATACCCTCAAACTTGATACTATCAAACAATATAGAATACAGTAAAATCAGACAGAAAAAGATGGGGAGAGCAATAGTGGGGTTCAAAACAGATTAATAGGAAAACAAAAAAAAGTTACTATAATATATTCCACAATTTTTTAAATTTAGTTTTCCCTTAATTGAAAAAAGTTAAGTAAACAGATTAATATTTGAAAAAGAGTGGAGATTGAGATAAAAGAGGACATTGTGATAGAACAACACAGGTCAGAACTGAACAATTTAAACATTATTGTGTTTCAGCCCCAAATAATCTAACATAATATTAGTCACCATAGTGCCTCTTTCCTTGAATTATTTGAGTATAACTTCGTACACTGTAGCATCAAGCATATTAAGACAGTGTGAAGCCATTCAAGAGAATGAAAGAATTACAGAGTATTTAGAACCAGTTAACAGAAAATGAACAATGGTTTCTATATTATTTCTTTGCCCATAAAATTTTGTTTATACTATCGCATATAGTAAAATACAGTAAGATACAACATGTTAAAACCAGTGGAAACAGATGTACAACAGCTTGATGGGATTTCAAAACAAGATGATATTAAATCAGCACTAGCTTTTATGATGTGTTGTTTTCTACAGAATAGCTATTCGTACTATAACTGATACTAAAATCGAACAACCCACGTTAAAACCATTGCACTTAATGAGTGAAAACATTATATGGATTCAAACCAATATGATTGGGAATCATGATTACTATGTACTTCTATGTATTATCATTTCTTACACTAGGGAAAATATTTGGTATTTATACATGTGAGTTTGATTTATTTCACTCATCAGTATGGTCTCAAGCTGCATCCATTTACTTATATCTCAATGTGATCATTCTTTATAGCTGAGTAGTACTCCATTGTATAAAAATACCACAACTTTTAATCCATTTCTCAGTTGATGGACACTTAGGTTGTTTCCAAGATCTGGCTATTACAAATTGTGCTGCTATACACATGGGGGCACATATATCACTGTGGTATGATGCTTTTAGTTCTTGTGGGAATATGCTTAGAAATGGAATAGCTGGTTCAAAAGGTACTTCCAATCCCAGCTTTCTGAATAATCTCCAGACTGACCTCGACAATGGTTGCACTAGTCTACACTCCCACCAACAGTGCAGGAGAGTTCCTTTTACCCCACAGCCTCTCCAGCATTTGTTGTTGTTGGTTTTCTTGATCTTGGCCATTCTTTCAGGCATGAGATGAAATCTCAGTGTGGTTTTAATTTGCATTTCTCTAATGACCATTGATGATGAACATTTTTTCATGTATTTATTTGCCATTTGTATTTCTTCATCTGAAAATTGTTTATTCATCTCAGATGCCCATTTTTGGATTGGGTCTTTGAATTTTGGAGGTCTGATTTTCTTTTAATTCTTTACATGTTTTAGACAGAAGTCCTTTGTCTGAGGGGCAGTTCACTAAGACATTTTTCCCAGTTTTTGGGTTTTTTATTCACTAGGCTGGAGATTTCTTTTGATGTGCAGAAATTTTTTAATAAGAGGCCATCCCAATTATTGACTCTGGGAAGTATTTCCCATTTGGTTTGAGTCCTGTTCATGAATTCTCTACCTACTCCTATGTCTTCAAGTTTTTTTCCCAATTTGTCTTCCAAGAGATTTAGTGTTTCTGTTTTAATATTTAGATTTTTGATCCATTTAGATTTTATTTTAGTACATAGTGATAGGCATGGTTCTTACTTTTACTTTTCAGCATATGGAGAGCCAGTTTTTCACCACTATTTATTGAAGAGACTGTCTTCCAGTGAACATGGTTGGCCTCTTTATCAAAGATAAGGTGGTTGAATGTGTTTGTAGTTTTTGTTGTATCTTCTAAACCATTCCACTGATCTTTGGCTCTGTTTTGGTTCCAGTACCATGTTGATTTTACTACAGTTGCTTTGTAGTATAACTTCAAGTCAGGGATTGTGATACCTCCTGGCTTGCCTTTGCTACTTTTATCTGTCCTTGCTATTCTAGGTTTCTCACTCCAGATGAATTTTAGGGGTGATTTCTCGAGTTCAATGAGGTATATTGATGGCTTTTTTAAAATCGGAATTGCATTGAGTCTGTATAAAATTTTTGGGAGAATGGCCATTTTCACAATATTTATTCTTCCTATCCATGAGCAAGGAATGTCTTTCTATTTTCTGAGATCATCTTCAGTTTCATCTTCCAGGGTGTTATAATTTTTCCTGTATACACCTTTTAATTCTTTCATGAGAATAATTCCTAAATATTTCATTTATTTTGGTTGCTAGTGTGAAGGGTGTGGTCTCTCTTATTTCTCTCTCTGTGATTTTGCTGTTAGTGTATAGGAATGTATTGATTTTTGAGTATTGATTCTGTATCCAGCTACATTACTGAATTTATGTATTTTATCTAGGAGTCTTTCAATGGAGTTTTGGGGATCTTCTATGTAGAGTATCATGTCATCTGCAAATAATGATAATTTAACTTCTTCTTTTCCTATATTTATGCCTTTTATTTCTCTCTCTTGTCTAATTGCTCTGGCCAGTATTTCCAGTACTATATTAAATAGGCGTTGTGATAAGGAACATCCTTGTATTGTGCCTGATTTTAAAGTAAAGGCCTTCAATTTTTCACCATTTAGTATGATATTGACTGTTGGTTTGTCATAAGCAGCCTGAATTACATTAAGGTAAAGACCATCTATTCCAATTTTCTGTAATTTTCTTATCATAAGTGAATGTTGGACCTTATCAAAAACTTTTTTCTGCATCTATAGAAATGATCGTGTGATTCTTTCTTTTGGCTCTATTGATATAGTGTATTACATTTATTGATTTACATATATTAAACCATCCCTGCATGCCTGGGATAATTCCCACTTGGTTGTGGTGTGTGATCTTGATGATTTGCTACATCCTGTTTGCCAATATTTTATTGAGTGTTTATGCATCTGTGTTCATTAGGGAGATTGCACTGTAGTTCTCTTTTTCAGTTGAGTCCTTCTCTGGCTTTGGTACTAGAGTAATATTTGCTTCTAGGAACGATTTAGGAAGGATTGCTTCCCTTTCAATTTCATTGAAGATTTTGAGGACTATTGGCATTAGGTCTTCTTTTTATTTCTTGTAGAATTCTTCAGTGAATCCATCTGGGCCTGGGCTCTTCTTTCTAGGTAAAGATTTAATTTCATTTTCAATTTCATTAATAGAAATTGGGTTATTCAGTAGTTTTACATCTTCATTACCTAGCTTTGGTACTTCGTATGCTTCTAGGAATCTGTCTATTTCCTCTGTGTTATCAAACCTTTCAGAGTAGAGGTTTCTGAAATAGGTGTTGATGATCTTCTGTATTTCTATAGGGTCTGCAGTGATTTCACGTCTTTCATTTTTTATTGCATTAATTTGAGCTTTTTCTTCCTTTTTTGAAATAAGGTTGGCTAGGGGCTTGTCAATTTTATATATTCTTTCAAAGAACCAGCTCTTTGATTCATTGATTTTTTTGGATTTTTTTTAGTCTCTATTGCATTGATTTGTGCCCTGATTTTCATAATTTCTTCTCTTCTTTTGGCTTTGGGCTTGACTTGCTCTTCTTTTTCTGGATGTTTGAGGTATAACATCAGGTTATTTATTTGTATTCATTCTGTTTTCCTAATGTGGGAACTCAGTGCAATAAATTTTCCTCTGAGAACAGCTTTCATTGCATCCCACAGATTCCAGTAAGTTGCATTTGTGTTTCCGTTTCTCTGTAGGTATTGTTTAATTTTTTCTTAATTTCCTCTGTGACCCACTGATTACGCAAGAGTGTGTTATTCAGTTTCCATGTGTTTGTGGGATTTTTCCAGTATCTTTTATTGTTAATTTCTAATTTCATAGTGCTATGGTCTGATGGCATGCAAGGGATAATTTCAACACTTTTGCATTTTAAATATGTTCTATGAATTAATATATGGTCTATTTTAGAGAATGATCCATGTACTGCTGAGAAGAATGTGTATTCTGTTCTTGAGTGGAATACTCAGTATATGTCTATTAAGTCCATTTCTTCAAAGATGCGATTCAGTTCTTTTATTTCTTTGTTGATTTTCTGTCTGGTTGATCTGTCCATTGGTGTCAACTCTGTGTTAAGGTCTCCTGTTAGAACTGTGTTACTGCTAATTAGGTTTTTCCTTTCTGTTAGTACTTATTTTATATAACTGTGTGCTCTGGAGTTTGGTTCATATATATTTAAGATAATAATCTCTTCCTCTTGGAGTTTTCACCTAATCAGTATGTAGTGACCTTCTTTATCCCCTCTGATCATTACTGGCTTGAAGTTCATATTGTCTGCAAACTGAATAGCTATTCCTGCTTTTTTTTTTTTGGATTCCTGTTGCATGGAGTATTGTTTTCCATCCTTCAACTTTCAGACTGTGAGTATCTTTTTGGGTTAGATTGGTTTCTTGTAGACAGCATTTGGTTGGATTTTTTTTTTCTTTTTTTCTGGTACCGGGGATTGAACTCATGACTGCCTGCTTGCAAGGCAGATGCTTATGCTGCTGAGCTAAATCCTCAGCCCCTGGAATTTGTTTTTTGATCCATTCTGCCAGTATGTTTCTTTTAATTGGTGCATTGACACCATTTACATTAATGGTTAGAACTGTTATATATTGGTTTATTTTTGACATGTTATGTTTCTGCTGTTGAATCTTTATCTCTCTGCTGTGTTTAATTTTCTGCTTTGTTTAGTGTTATTTTCCTAAATGTATCTAGACTGTTTTTCAGTATTCTTTGCAGGGTTGACTTGGGGATCATGAAATTTTTAGCTGTTCTTTGTCATGGAAGTATGTGATTTCTCCATCAATTTTGAAGGACAGTTCTGGAGGGTACATCAGCATAGCTTGGAAATCATTTTCCTTTAGAATCTGAAATACTTGACTCCATGCTCTTCTTGACTATATTGTTTGTGCTGAGAAGTCTACTGTGATTCTGATAGGTTTTCCTTTATAGGTGATCTGTCTCTTCTCTCTGACAGCTTTTAATATTCTATTCTTTTGTTTGATTTCTGTGATGGTCATTGTTATATGTCTGCGTGTAGATTTATTTTGGTTATTGCTATTTGGAGTTCTATATGCTTCATTGATCTTGATATCACTTTCCAATCTCGTGTTTGGGAAATTTTCAGCTATCACTTCTCTAAATATCCTCTTAACATCCTTTATGTTGTCCCCTTCTTTTTCATTTATCCCTATCAACCTTAATTTGTTGTGCTTTGCATCATCTTGCAGGTGTTGAATTGTTATTTCCTGATTTTTTGTTATTTTTAAAACATTTTTCCTTTCCTTTTCACAGGCTGCATCTTGTCTTTGAGGTCTGAGATTCTATCTTCACATTCATTGAGGCAATTTTTATGACTCTCAATGGAGTTTTTTTTATTTCCTGTATATTTCTTTGTATCTGCTTTATGTATTCTGTTTGTTCCTTATAGTGTTCATCCAGGGATTCTATCTTTTTGCTTAGTTCCTCCAGTTTTTTAACTGTGTTTTCTTTAGATATGTTCAGCATCTCCTGCATTTCTTTTATCATTTCTTTTTTTACCTGAGAGATTATTTCTAGTTTGAATTCCTTTAAGGGTCCCAGAGCTGCTTCTTTATTTCAGTTCTATTATTTCAGGTACTTCAGGTATGTGGGATGTGTTTTCTTCTATGCACATGGCTCCTAGGCTTTCTTGGAATGGGCTGGATGTTTGAGACTGCATTTTGGTCTCTCATTTTGTCATTTTCCTATATTTTTGAGCTGCAAGTGTTGTTCCAAGTGATGGAGAGAGTTCCCACAGACTGGGATGGGATTCTGTGCCGCAGCCCAAGTCACTGGTCATGGCAGGAAACCTCAGGCTGGTCCCCAGGCAAGGAAGAGAGTTCTCAAGAATGGGACGGGATTCCATGTCATGGCCCCACTCATTGGTCAAGGCAGAAAACCATGGGTTGGGGCCCAGGCGGGGAAGACTGTTCCCCCAGACTGGGACGGGATTCTGTGCCTTGGCCCCACTCTTTGGTCCTAGCAGGGAACTGCAGGCTGGTCCCCAGGCGAGGAAGAGAGTTCCCCCAGACTGGGACAGGATTCCATGTTGTGGCCCCACTCACTGGTCCCAGCATGAAACTATGAGCTGGTCCCCACGTGAGGAAGGAAGTTCCCCCAGATGGACGGGACTCCGTGCCTAGGCCTGACTCACT